ATTCAATCAAGGACAAACCGACTGAAAAACAGTTTCTACCCCAGAGCCATACGAGAACTGAACACCGTCAAACGCTGAACTGAACGGTTACAACTTGCATCTGCACTACTTTTTAATAGTTTGATTAACTTATTAACTGATCGACATGTGTTTTTTATATTGTAAACTGCATTTAAATTATGTGCGGGCATGTATGCATGTTGGTATGGATGTGTGAGCATATGTTTATGTGTGTATATGTTTTATATAGATATATATTTATTTGTGGAAATGCACTGCGAGGATTGCTTTTTTAAATTTCGTTGTACCTGGTGCGATGACAATAAAGGAATTCTATTCTAGGAATTCTAATGTGTATTACCTAAAAACTCAACAGAGTACTATGATGGACTTTTATCACTACTGCCCTTTATATATATGATATAGTATGATACAGTACTCAGTTGTTGTTGTTGTTGTTGGTTTTTTAAGGACAATCATTTTCAACACATGTTTTTCAGTCAGGAGTCAAATCTGCCTGCTAACTTATCTTTCAGCTGGTATGTTTTAGTGAACACGCAGGGTTTAGTTAGCTGGCAAGATGCAGGCGAGTATGCATTTAGCTACATCTAATTTTAATGTGACTTTAATTCTGACTGAATGATTCATGTATAATTTAAATGTGTATGGGAAACTTGCAAAAAAATATCCTGTAATGCTGGCGTTGTATTTCCACATCTCCTGTTCGCTACAAAGGAGGTGGTGGGTGCAAAGTTAGCATGACTCATAGTCAAACTCACAGTTATGAAAATAATAATGACAAAATGACCTCAATTCTTATTCAAATGGCACTGGCACATTGTATTCTGTCTAACTAGTTACAGTTAACATACACAATAACAAATGTAACACACTCACAGTCATGAATATCTACTGTGAGATTACACATTCCTCATATCCAAACTGAATCATGCATTCAGCTTGATCAGCGCAAACATCTTTAAACGATATCCCACCCGGGGGTTCTGCTGTCTTTTGCTGTCAAATAAAACTTGTTCTGTCAGTGCTCTGAGCTGATTTCAAGTTTTCTGCTTACGTTTTCAAAACCGCAAGTTATTGCAAAGAAAAAACGTGCGCTCCAACATCTCCCCTCTGAATAAACAAAGTTAGGAAATAATTCACACAGAATGGAAAAGGCCAAACAACCGGCGGCGACCAATTCATTGTCCAGCCCTGATAATTCATCACTGGCCGTCTCTGTGTCTACAGGAATTAGAAATTAATGAGCTTTGTAGTGAGTTGCCAGCGAGGCAGAGAGTGAGAGCTAACACAGCTGATCTGACAGCACTGTGTTGTGCTGCTCAACAGTTTTTTCTCATCAGCAGCCCACATGGTCAGTGCAGCTGGTCATCCATTCCTCTCATACTGCCTTTCATTCTCTGTGTCNTCTACCCCAGAAACTTTTTAATAGTTTGATTAACTTATTAACTGATCGACATACATGCCCGCACATAATTTAAATGCAGTTTACAATATAAAAAACACATGTCGATCAGTTAATAAGTTAATCAAACTATTAAAAAGTTTCTGGGGTAGAAACTGTTTTTCAGTCGGTTTGTCCTTGATTGAATTGACCTGTAGCGTCTACCGGAGGGCAGAAGAGCAAACAGGAAGTATCCAGGGTGTCAAAGAAATGTGTTGGTTCAGTGTTGGTGAACAGAGCTTCTTTGTAACACAATGCTACAGTGCTGCTACAGCTTTGAGGAGATCCTTGTGCCGTTCACTCCTGAGTTTCAATTTGTAACCTCCCGTGGTTTCCTGCCAGTGTCCATTATCTGAGCAGTGAGTTTGATGAGGGCAGCTACTGAGATCCAGGGTTTCAATTAGGACGGGTGGGGTGCTCAACTTCTGGAGAGCTCCACTTTATAAAGGCGATATATTTTAATCTAAAATGTTACTGTTTCATCAGAAAATGTCAGGAATCATCTAATGCCTTTAGTAATGATTCATGGAGAGCTTGACTTTCATGCCTGTCATCATTTTTCCAGAATAGATGTGATTAAATTTTTTAACTGATTTCCCAGTAATATGTATTTTCTAAGCCAACGCCGTGGTGTGTTGATTTTTTGATGTTTTGATCAAATAGTTACTGAATGAAATGCTTAACAGCCGCTGTTTTGGACGTAATGAATGTCTATCTAATCGGTGAAATTGCATCATTGGGTGAGATAGATAACAATACAAATCTAGATCCACAAATCTGATGTAATGGTTATATGTCCATCAGAATCAATATAAATCTGTGGGCAACTGCCTGAAGAGACAGGCTATAAGAGGCAGACACATTTACTTTTTCCCACCTCATTAGTGTAGGCAATAAAAGTCTTCATTTTCCTTCTGGTGGAGACATTGTTATTGAAAAGCCTTACCACAGCATGAATGAAAATGCTCCAATCATTGCTGACCCCAGTAGAGCAGTAATAGGTGATACTTTAGGGTGCTACAAATAAATTACATTGCATTTTCCCGGCTCGTGTTATTTACTGTGTGATATCTGGTTGATATGAAGTTTTAGTGCAATGTGTGCAACAAGATGGGGATGAAGCGATGTTAGGTTGGAGACATTTGAATCAATTATTGACGCTTGCATTGATGCAGGGCTGTACTTTGTTGTTGTGAGGTTTTGCATTGGTTCTCTGTAACACTGCAGTTGAATTCAGTTTTTTTAAAGTAATGTCATGTGCTGCCACTTAAGAAGAAAACTGACTTAAATACTTAATTAACACATCAAATTGGGACTTGTAGCAAACAATAAATGGATTTACTGAACACACGCCAAGATAGCAACTAACATATGGTAAATATGTCTAAAAGGAGCTCTTACATCATGGATTCGGACCAGTACAAACATAAGAATGGGAAAATATAGTGCTGTCCCATCCACTCATTCAGGTCACAGTATAAGGACTTTGTCATATTTCTTGTTATCAGAACACGTAAAAAGAAAATAGACACACATAAAGCTGCAATTGAGAAGTTGAAGAAATTACTAAATGTGATGTTTATCTGTTCTCCTTTTGTTTCTGATGGGGAGTGAACCCCTATATCCTACCTGCTGTCCTGACTGTCTGTCCTGTCCGTCATGCCCTTGGCTGCCTCGGCCTATCAGAGACAGTCACACAGAGCGCTGTTAGCAGATGTCCTCCTGACAAACAGAGGGCGCTGTGTGCTCCAGCCTCAGCCTCTGTGTGCCTCTGTCCCCCTGCTCAGCCCGGCTTTGGCTCTGTTAACCCTCTTCTCTTCTCCCCCCTCTCTCTCTCCCTCTCTCTCTCTCTCTCTCTCTCTCTCTCGCGGCACTAGGCGCGGCTCCCCTCCTGTTCATCCACCTTAAGCATTGCTGAGGTACTCCTGCATGTGTTCTAATGCATCCTTACGGCCGTCATCATGGCATCGGTTTCCCTCCCTCGCCAAACTCACTCCTCACTTCCTGCCTGGAATGATTGCTTCACCCCCTAAACTCCATGTCCTTTCCCTGTGTGTGTGTGTGTGTGTGTGTGTGTGTGTGTGTGTGTGTGTGTGTGTGTGTGTGTGAGAG